TCGCGCCTGAAATTCCATCATCAGAGATTCCTGGGAAGCTGAAGAACAACTTAAACATCGCCCTTGGGAGAGGGGTCACTTTAAGTGTGATCTGAGAGCAGAGTTTACAGGAGACACACATCACCTCCTCTTGCTACATTTACAATACAATGTACAGTTTCTGACTTAAAAGCATTTGGTTCTTAAGAAGTTGTGTGGCCTCTACTAGAATATGAAAGTGAACAGAGTGTGAACCATAGACAGTTTCATGGTATTTACTAACATTACAACTGGCTTTGCTAGTCAGTATTATATAAATCTGTCCTCAGTTTTTTCTTCTATTTATAAGGGACAGAGTGAGGTATTAGGAGGAAGGATTCCATTTCACAGGGGCACCATGACATCTCCGTGTGTGCGTGCATGTGTGTATAGAATGCACAACGTATGCAGCGCTGCACTGCCAAGGATTCTATCGGTGACACTAACCTGCTGAGGCCGCATTGGACTACCTCCTAAAAGACAGACTTCACGGGCCAGCATGGTGTCTTTCATTCATCTACACAGGAGGATCCACTGAGTAGCACATACAGTCTTAAGATTATAAGATCTTCCAGATCTTCAAATACGAACAAGTCGAAATCTATAGGTGAAGTCTTTGATTTAGCTACCATCAGCTGAGCCCAAATAATTTTTCTGTGTGATCAGCTCTTGACTACATGTATGTAGACTTCAGTATGGCAAAAAAAAAGTAAATAAGTGAAAACAAAGGTAGATAAATGCATGTATGTATTACCGAGTTGATTTGATGCTGGCTATAACTAACATGAACAAAGTCTCTTTTCGGCTTACTTCTCTTCATTGTTTAGTTGTGAACCTTTTTATCTATTTCTTAGCCTATGCCAGAAGGCCTTTTGAGGCAAACTCTCCTTTACCCCCAAATCATGAAAATAATTGCAGCAACAACAGCAAGTGCTTCTCCTGTGCCAGGCTCTCTATAAGCACTTTACTGGCCAGGTTTTAGAGGGAAGGTAGTGTAAGCTTTGCTGTCATTAAGGTAAGATAAATAGGAGAGGTGGGGTAAATAGCAGAGAAGGGTTAAGAAGAGGGTTAGGTGTGTGAGCTAAGCAACTTTTCAATTTCTCTTCTCTGTACTGACAAATGTTTTTAAATACTATTTCATTCTTGTAAATGCTTTCAAAAATTTTTCAAAGCCTTTTCACCTTTAGAACATCAGATATCCACACTTAAAATTACATTCCCAAAACAGTATGATTTCAGAATTATCCTTAGATTTGGATTTTCCCACTACCGTCCGTAGGTCCATTATCACTACGTCAAGTCTGACTGTGTATTATACAGTCTCATGGACAAGCCCCTATTCTCTTTGTTCTGGAAGCCAAATCAGGGACAGCAGCAGCACTCAAGGCCATGGTGGTTTTGCATAGAGCAGGGCCACTGAAGTTGTGCCACCAAAGTCTCTTGCAGGTCATTACAACCATTCTGAAGTATAAAATGCACCTGCCCAATTAAAAAATACACAAGCACAGACATACATGATCGTGTGCACTTATGAACAGAATACCTGAGTGCCCAGATTTTTAATACCTTAAATAAAACTAGTAAGAAACATAATTACAATATTTAAATATGTTAAATTATAAGGAATTGCAAAAAGCATAGTTAGCCAGGTTAAGCGGCCAGAGGTTCATTCATTTAATAAGCCATTGTTGACTGCCCACACAGCAGGCAGCTACTAAATTCCAAGGTAGAAACAGAATAAGGCAAGCAACACCCATCCCTCTGGGATGTGGAAAGTCTAGGAGACAATGGTTCAATCAGAAATCAGTATCCACAGACCCATATCTCTAAAAGCATAGAGATCTGATTTCATGACTGACCTTTCAAACTTGTGAAATTCAATAATATTTTGAACTTCTACTGCAGGTTTTTTGAAGTTGTTTTTTAAAAAGCCATTAGGTCATTCTCCTCAGGACGAGAGGATGGAGAGGAAGTGCTGTTCCCCTCCACCCAAGGGAAGGCTCTCCAGAGGGCTTAGTTATGTTGGCTCCCGCAGCAGAGGATGGAGCCACTATTGCTCAACCTGCAGCGATTAAAGAACTTAATGGAGAGCTGCCTTTCAAAAACTGTATTTTTTAAGCAATTGGGAAAACTGAATTCGTAATTAATAATTTTGCTGCAGGCTTTAAAACAGGAGTCAACAAACTTTTCCTGAAAATGGCCAGACCGCAAACATTTCCAGCTTTGAGGGACATACTGTCTCTGTTGCAACCACTCAACTCTGAGCTGTGCTATAAAAGCAGCCAAAGGCAATAGGTAAACAAAGGGTGTGGCTGTGCTGCGACAAAACTTTATTTATAAAAACTGGCTGCAGGCCAGAGTTTGCCTGTAGGTCACAATTTGCCTACATCCTGTTGTAAAATAAACATTTAAGATCATATAAACATACCTGGTTGTATTTGTCTAGAATTAATTTTACTAACATAATAGCAAAGGAGGAAAGATAAAAAGTTACCTTTTCAGAAGGATGAGAGAACATACTTTAAAAATTTTAAATACACACTGAATTTTTAAAAAAATCTCCATGGAAATTAAATTGTGTTATTTTAATTGGTCTTCACTTATAAAAGCATAATTTCATTATAGTGGGCAAATTTATCAATAGACATATTTATCATCTAGAAAATGAGGATAAAAACGGCCCCTGCTTCTTTCTGGATCAGGGGCCAGTGGCCACGCCCAGGAGCCCTTCTGCTCTCCCAGTAAAGCAGCGGCCCATTCAGAGTGCCCCTAACCCCCCAGGTACTTCAATGAAGGAGCACTTCAAGAAAGAACATTAAAACACCTAATTAGTTCATCCTATCTAAAAGCACCTGGAGGAAGAAACTAACACCCCAAGGTGTGTGTGTGTGTGGTGGTGGGGGGGAACCAGCAATCTAAATGATCAATAACTTTTCTTTCCTCATGATGATCATTACTTGTATGTTAAAACAAAAGTAATAGTGACCACACATTGATCAGGGATAGGCAGGCTCAGCTAATTTTCACCTGCCACTTTATAAATATTGAAATTGAACTGGTCTTGAAGGTAAGTTCCAAGTATAAATATGTAATAGTGTAAATGATTACATAAATGTGTGTGCTGAGTCTCCATTAAATATCCATGACAAAGCCTCTGACATTACACCCGGTGGCTTTATTTCATAAGCTCCCGCAGAATTTTCATGTTCTGTTGTCAGAAATGACCCCCTTTGGCATTTTTAAGTTTTGGATTCTGAAAACCGCATGTCATCCTCTGATTTTAACTTCCATTATAAAAAAAAATATATGCATCTATCAACAAGTGACTCTAAGAATCAAGTGAATAAATAATCTGATGAACAGAATGAACTGGTGATTATAACAGAATCAGGGACATAGAAAGGGAATGGACTGACTATTCTTGGGGGGGAAAGGGGTGTGGGAGATGCGGGAAGAGACTGGACAAAAATCGTGCACCTATGGATGAGGACAGTGGGTGGGGAGTGAGGGCGGAGAGTGGGGCGGGAACTGGGAGGAAGGGAGTTAGGGGGGGGGGAGAGGAACAAATGTAATAATCTGAACAATATTTAATTTAAAAAAAATTTTTAAAAAGTCGACTTCTAATAAAAGACTAATTCGAAATATATATATATATAATTACTTCCCTGACACTGTCTTGAAAACATCATTAGAATTTAAAGATAAGGGGGTGGGGGAGGCCAGCCTTAGGAAAAAAGGACTACAATAACGTACATGAATGTCGAAGAAACACATTACCTCTGTGACAAATAAGCTCTGTGCTTCCTCCTGTGCGTGAGCAGGAACCGTGGAGCCTCTGTAGCGGCCCTGGCGTCTCAGGATGGCAGTCTGCGAAGGAAAGCACCAGGCAAGGGCTGAGTGAGGTGAAGAGGGGAGGGCAGCCTCCAGCTCGCAGGGCCTGGCATGGACAGTCACTTCGGTCTCTACCACCTCCTCCTCAGGTCACACAACACAGCCCACTGGACACCCTACCATTCAAAAGTCATGCAGGGCCACGACCCTGCTTCTTTCTGGATCAGGGCCCAGTGGCCGCTCCCGGGAGCCCTTCTGCTCCCCCCAGTAAGGCAGAGGCCCATTTAGAGAGCCCCTAACCCCTTAGGTACTTGATCTAGTCCCATTACGCTGCTTTTTACTTGCCCCAATTATCTTTCTGTATTGTAGTTAAATAGATATGACATAAAATTTACAATTTTAACCATGTTCAATTGTACAGTCCCGTGTCATTGTACATGTACACTGCTGTGCAACCATCGCCACTATCCATCTCTGAACTGCCCTTTATGTCTGTGTTCACTACCACATCTCCAGTGCCCAAGAACAAGAGAGGCTGAAAGCCCTTAATCAATATTTGCTGACTGAATCTATGAATTGTGAATTCTACCTCCCCTCCTATGAGCCTTAGAACTATTCTTGTTTCATGAGGCTTAAATGCTTATTTTAAGTAACAAAATGCCTCAAGACTTTAGGCAGATGCACATCTATTCCAATTAACATTGTTTGCGCAGAACAGTAATGTCAATACAGGAAACAGGACCTCAGACTTCAGAAAGATTTCCTCTCCCACGGACTACAATCCTTGGAACTATTAACTGATTATAAAACAGCATACATGAAACATTTTGCTAACGGAATCTACCCTGTTGGCTCTTCCTGGCTAATTACTAAGCTGGGGTCTCCCAGCACGTGTCCCGGTTGTTTCTATTCTTCCTTTGATAAGAAGCAGCTTTGGGTCAAATCTGTGATCTCCTCCCAACCTGTAGAGGTGGAGAACCCCAGGGCACATATTTTGTGTATAACTTAATTTTATTTCCTGCCCACATTTTCTCTGTGTTGTGTTTGATTCACCTATATATATTCTCTTATTGCACTGTGTCCATCTTTGAAATTAATCTTACCTCCCGTTTTTTTAGAATAAGGATCCCTTAATTCTACAGGAAGGGAAGGAAGGAACTCTATTCCCCACCAAAGTCCTTCACAGGTGGATTATTAATTCATTCAGCCTCCCAGAGGGCTTGTAAGACCCTGGGTTTGTTGGTTTCTTTGCGAATATCTCAATCAAAGGGTGATTCTCATGACTCACCTGTTCACATGAAATGCCACAGAGATATGTGACTAAGCTTTGCAGAGGCACAATCTACTCAAAAAGCTTCCCCATAACACATAAACTATAAGAGACGGTCAAAACTAATATTAGTAAAAGGGAATTGCCTAAGAAATTATGTAGGCTCCTTTTTTTCAGATTCTATTTATTTTTTATTTTTTCCCTTCTCTTTTATTTTTTTTTAAATCTTTATTGTTGGAAGTATTACATATGTCCTCTTTTTCCTCCATTGACCTCTTGTGTTTGTGTGAACTTCTTAATATTCTTACTTATTGTATCCTTATCTTGATTATCTGGGTCTATCAAGATTTTATAAACTAATGATTATACTTTCAAAAATGTTCAGGAAATGGCTCAGGCTAAGAAACAGGACTATTAGGGTCATTTCCAGCCCATTTCCCATCACAAGACTAAGAAGAAAGAAAATGTATTACAAAATTTTCCCAGTGAATTGCCAACTCAAGAAACTTTAATTATGTAATACTTTTCTAAGCACCCCTTTAAGAGAAAAATAATAGCAAATGAGTCTTTTTGATTCTCATGGACCAAAGTACCATTATGCTCTCAATTTAAAAGAAAGCAAAAGTCATTAGAGACTTGTCCTTCACCAAATAATTAAAGCAATCATTCACGTGTTTATTGCCACCCACCAATACCAGAATGCTAGATTTGACTCCATTACTGATGACGTCCTAACTATGATCCTCATAGTTCTTTTTGTATGTCTGTTTTAGATCCTCTTTTTTAGATGCCTACTATCCTTCCCTATATGTTCATGCTGTTCCTCACACCAAAAGGTGGAAACTATTTCCTCTTCCCTTGAATCTGGGCTGTTTAACACGGATAAAATGAGGTAGAAGGGACCTTGCGCCAGTTCCAAGACTAGCCTTTAGGAGAACTGGCAGCTTCTGATTCTTCCTTCTTGAAAGACAATGAGCATATTAAAAGATCCACCACCTGAGATCACCATGCTATGAACAAGTTCAAGCTAGTCATATGGAGAGGCCGTATATAGAAAGATGCCCCACCAGCCTCCAGCTGGTTCCAGCTATCCTGGTCGAGTGAAGAAGTCATCTTGGACATCCCAGCCCCCATAGACTCTAAATAAAGCAGAACTACCCAGCTTAGCCTTAACCAGATTTCAGAATTATGAGAAATAATAAATTATTGTCTTATAGACTTTGGGGTAATTCAGCAATAGATAACTGTAATAAGACTGTAAGAGGCTAGGAACATCTCCTGATTAAAGTATTGGAGAATACTGCCATTTTCATGAAAATATCTTTCAAATGCAAATCACACTATAGGTTAGGACAGAAGCATGGAGGGGATACATTGCAATCTGGTTTCCATACTTACCCTCTATTTAATCAGTGTCCTAAGCGCAGGCAAGTAAGAGAAAAATGTCTGCTAGACCTAGAGAATAGACTATAGTGGCTTCTCTTCCCAAAGAACAGTCTACTGATCACGTAAGGCTCAGTATAAATATCACTCCATCCATCCATCCATCCATCCATCCATCCATCCATCCATCCATCCAACCATCCATCCATCCACCCACCCATCAATCTGTCGGTCTGTCCATCCATCCCTCTATCCCTTCCTTCTCTCCCCCCTTCCTCTCTTTACTGGGTCCCTACTTTTTACCAACAGACAATGGACTAGCATTGGAGACACCACATTAGATAAAATGTAGTTCTTACAGAGTTTACAGTCTGATGGCAGAGGAAATAAATTATTAGAGTGTGATAAGTACTGCAGGAGGGTATGAGAAAAAAGAGCACAGATACACCAGCTGGTAAGAGAGGAAAGAGTAGGGGAGTCTAAATTTGACATGGAGGAGGACATCAAGAAAATGTGTACTGCCTGGCCAGTATGGCTCAATGGTTGAGCATCAGCCCATGAACCAGGAGGTTGCGGTTCAATTCTGGGTCAAGACAGATGCCTGGGTTGCGGGCTCAACCTCCAGTAGGGGACATGCAGGTGGCAGCCGATGTATGCTTCTCATTGATGTTTCTATCTCTCTATCCCTCTTCCTTCCTCTCTCTAAAATCAATAAAATACATTTTTTAAAAGATGTGTCCTAAGGCAAAGATGCTTAAGCTAAATTGTACTTGTACTGCATACACTTGAAACTTGGAGAGAAGCTTACCCTTGGAAAGTTAAAAGGACAAAATCAAGGCATAATAAATGTGGTTAGCTCTTTGCACACACACAAAGGAAACAAACCCATTAAATCCTAGAACTGAAAAATCATTCTATGTCAAAGGAAAAACTTCCTAGAACTCTAAATTTGAATTAAACAACACTAAAACTCCACCAACCCACAGGCTAGTCAGTGGTTTTAATTCATCTGGGGAAAGAATGAGCCAACAGAAAGAAACGGGCTTTGAACCAGAGCACTTTTCCCAGTATCTTTAAAAGAAAAGGCTGGGATCCATCAGGCAGGGACCCACGGGGGGGCGAGGGGAGTGAGGGGGGGCGGGACGGACAGGGGTCCAGGACTTGGCATCAACGAGAGGTCACCGTGTAATACCACCAGTTGCCAAGGTCTCCCACTCATTGCCTTGGCTCTAAGTCCAGCCTCAACAACCCACTTGTTTATAATGTGATCCCCATTTAGACTTCGCTAGTCAGAGAGAACACACAGCCAATGAATACATCCTGATTTGCTTATTAATTCCAGTTCTGAATGCACATTTTTAAATATTCTCTTGAGGGCTTGGCTACTACAAGTGAATTCATCTGAGCCCAAATAATTCTGGTTATATTGTCCAAACCCAGTCTTTGGACTTACAAAGTAAAAAACTGACCCTAGACCAGTGGTCAGCAAACTGAGGCTCTTTGGCCCCTTGAGTGTGGCTCTTCCTAAGCCTTAGGAGTACCCTAATTAAGTTAATAACAATGTACCTATCTATATAGTTTAAGTTTAAAAAATTTGGCTCTCAAAAGAAATTTCAATCGTTGTACTGTTGATATTTGGCTCTGTTGACTAATGAGTTTGCCGACCACTGCTAGACCATGATGGCTTGTCTGATACCTCATCATCTCTGATTCCATTATACAAAAGTCTCTTGCAGGCACATCTTTTTTTACCCTACCAGACTGTGGGTTCCCTCGAGGGCAGGAGATGCATCTTTCTATTTGTATCTCTGTGCCAAGTACTTAATAAATAAATGAATAAAATAGACAATGGAGAAAGAAATAGAAACCTACCAATAATTATCCATTATTTGCATATGTTTTTTTCTATTACTATAAAAGTTCTCTGATCTATTATAAAAATTGACAAGGGAAGTCTATAGCATAAGTGATTTTCTGTTTTAATTTCTTCATACATTTTTATGTATTAAAAGTTACATTCAGGTAATAGTCAACTGTATGCCAAATCAATTCACATTAAATTTCTGTAGTTTTATTTATCTGGTTTATAACAGAATTCAAATCAATACCAAGGTATACTCCATGAACATTAAAGCCCTTCTTTAAAAATTACCTTAATTTTCTTTTACATGGTTATGGTATTCTTTTAAAATTTTCTATCAGTTAAAATCATATTCCTGCTAAAAGATGGGTCTGTGTCCACTTTAGATAAATCAGTATCAAGGTTGGACATTCATAGACAATCAGTTTTATTTTTATGTTTGGAAAGATACGATTTCCATTCTACTAAGAAAGCTTAGTAGCTTCTGACTAAGTAACTTTCTACATTTGCAAGTGGGAAGGA